TTCTCTGCCATACAATTAGTAGGTGTAACTGATGTGCTGGGTCCTGGGACCCCCGCCTGCAATCATTTTTGTGCATGTGCGTGCGTGTGTGCATGTGCGTGTGCGTGTGTGTGTGTGTGTGTCCCCACTGGGAACCCTTGCTCTGAGTGCTTTGTCCTAGAGATCTGGGTTTTGTTGTAATCAGGTCCAGTTCTGTCGTCTGCCTCTTTTGGTCTCCTTGACCCTTCTGAGGTTTCAGGGTACAGAGCAGCGGCTTCAAGGTCATCTGTGGAGAGTGTGGCCCAGTGGAGGGCCAGCCCTCGGGCAGGGCAGGGCCCCACTGACTCCCCGATTCCTTGCAGATAAACCGGGACTACTCCTTCCTGGACTACATCCTGGGAGGCTGCCAGCTCATGTTCACCGTAAGGCTCCCCCCTCCCCAGTGAGGGTCATGCAAGAGGGACTTTCCGGGGCCCAGGCTGTGTCTGCCCTGGCGGGTGGGCCTGAGTCCGGGCTTAGCTGCAGGTCAGCGCGTGGCTGCCCAGCCCACAGAGTTTTCTGGCAACACCCCTTGGGAAGGAAAAAGCCAACTTCCCCCTCGCTGGCCACAGGCCTTCCTGCCTCACCTGCTCCCTCCCTCCTCCTTGCTCCGCTCTTTCCACACCGATGCTCACTCTTCCCCCCACATGCCAAACCCCCGCTCTGCCTTAGGTCTTGCATTTGCTGTTCCTTCTGCCTGGAACTCTCTTTCCTGGAAGGCAGCTATGCTCACCACTATACCACCAACGCCTTCAGGAACTCTCTTTCCTGGAACCTTCTGGAGGCCGCCTTGCCATCCTGCAGGCGGGACATGGAGGTTGCCCTGTGAGGGACCTTGTCTTCCCTGTTGCTCTTTCTGGTTCATCCTTTTCAGGACACTCGCCGCTCTGAGATGATCTGAAGCATTTCTTGCTCATCCCTGTTGTCCCACCTCTAGCTTACGTTTCTGCTCCGACCTCCAGCGCCTAGCACGGAGCAGACGCTCAGTAAATACTGCTGGGAAGGACTCGTTCCTCTCCTGTGGCCTGGAGTGTGCCCTGCAGACTTCTGTCCCGGTTCCTCACCCCCAGGGGAGCCTCCAGCCCAGGGGAGAACCTGCTGGTCCCATGCTCTGTCCACCTCCCCACCTGCCTCACCCACCTCCATCACCACCTCTAGGTCCCTGAGGCCTGGAGGTCAGCTGCAGGGTTAATGGGGTTGGGGGATTGGCCCTGTTGACTGTAATTGTCTGGTCACCGCTGCCCCCTCACCCTCAGGGAGGCCAGGCAGTCCCATTCCTCCCGCATGCATGTGCCCACTCAGCAGATGGGCACCGAGCACCTCCTGGGTGCCAGGCTCTAGGCTGTGTCCCTGCCGGGGTCCCTCGAAGACGAAGACATGCCACCCTGACCTCAGGGAGCCAACCCGCTCCACAGCCACGGAGTCCTAAGGTGGCCGTCTCCCCCTGGGATCCCTGTCCTAACCCTCCCCTGCCGGGCAGTGCCTGCCCCTCTGTGCTGCCCTGCAAGGTCTGGGCTGGGCTTCCCTCAAGGCTGAGAGCTGGTAGAGCCCGGATCCCTGGCCACTGTCAGCCCCAGTCCCTGCGGGGCACCTGCCCGGTGCCCAGTGCCCAGCTCTGGACCCAGTTCTGCTGGGCATGCGTCTTGCCTGCAGGTCTGATTGGGCAGGTGGGCACTGCCCTACCTGGCAGCCTCAGGTCCCAGGCCCCTTGGTGGTCTGAGGGGTGAGAGGAGTTGGCTTGGGGTGGGTGAGTGTCTGGGAGAAATGGGGGCCTGCCTGGCTCTGTAGGTGGCGGGAGCCTCAGGATAGAGGCCTGGAGACTGGAGCCGGGGAGCTGGGAGGGTGGGAGGGAAGGGATTTGGGCTCTAAGTTGGCTCTGCACCCCGTCTGGACAATAGACTTTATGCTCAGGCCACGGTGAGCCACAGCTGGCGTGAGAGCCAGAGGAGTGACACAGGTGTCAGACCGCCTATGGGAGAGGAGCGGGCTCCCCGTGTCCCGTCAGCCTCTCTGTTCCCCGTGGGTGAGAAGGGGAGCTGGGGTCTCTGCTCACACCGGGGGGTCTCCTGCCCACCCTGCAGGTGGGGATAGACTTCACAGCCTCCAACGGGAATCCCCTCGACCCCTCCTCTCTGCACTACATCAATCCCATGGGCAGCAACGAGTACCTGTCGGCCATCTGGGCCGTGGGGCAGATCATTCAGGACTACGACAGGTGAGCAGGGGAGGGACTCGCACGTCCGTTCGGCTCGGCTCCAGCCCACACAGCTGAGACGTGGCCCCGCCTCGGGGGGGTTTCTACCTGAGCGCGAAGATGGGGGAGAAATCACTGGGGTTTCCACAGACCAGTTTACAAGTGAGGCAGGAGCTACGGGAGCTCCAGAGAGAGAGGGAGCTCGGGGTATCGGGGAAACCCCCAGAGAGAAGGGGCCATTGGAATTGGGCCTTAACGGATGAGGAGGAGCTCGCCACGGGGAACAGATGGAGGAGAGGTGTTCCAGGAGGGGGCGCACAGGATTGAAGGTGGAGTGGCCAGTGGTCATTGGCCAGAGCTGGGGGGACAGGGTGTGAGGGAGGGCAGGTGGAAATGAGATGAGGGCCTTGACCGCCAACCAGGGTTCTCCCCAAAGGAGAGAACTTTCCCAGCCTTGAAGGAAGGCTGAGTGAGCCAGTGCCTTTCACTTCCATCGTGCCTGGTTTAGCGGCTGCATGAGGCCCCGTGTGAGAAGGATCTAGAAGCTGCATGCAGGCCCATTGGTGAGACGCTCTGTGTCTGCCACAGTATAGATGGGGTCAACCACACCAGCCACCCAGAGGCACGTCTGCGCTTGAGGGTCCTTTGAACAGAGTTTGGCTAGAGGGGGTGAGCTTTCTCTGTGAGCGCAAGACAGAGGGCCCAGCTCTGGGGAGGGGCGTGGGAAGGGCGAGGGCGGGTGGGTGCAGCCCCTGTCCCGTGGTCTCACGGTGATTTTTTTCTCCTCTCTCTTATCAGTGATAAGATGTTTCCCGCTCTAGGGTTCGGGGCCCAGTTACCCCCAGACTGGAAGGTAGGTGAAGCCGGACTCTTGGCCGAGATGGGATGTGAGTGTATCTTCCCAAAATTTGCTTTGGAAGGGTCTGGCGCTTGGCCCAGCTGCCCTGCCTTTGAGTTGCCCCCAAACCCATGCTCCTTTCTCATCCTGAGCCTCCCACGGAGCAGGACAGGGACGCTGTCTGCCCCCCAGTACCCAACTCAGCGGGGTGGGCCCCCTGACCCTGGGCGGGGGAGGCAGCTGGCCACAAACCCTCTCCCGGCTGAATGTGGCAGCTGCGCCCCCCTCACCTGCACCTCCCGCTCCCTCCAGGACCTCTTCGGGAAGTCGGACCCGTTCCTCGAGTTCTATAAGCCCGGGGATGATGGCAAGTGGATGCTGGTCCACAGGACGGAGGTGGGTGCGTGGGGACCGTAAAAACACAAGACACCCAATGAATTTCAGATTAACAAGGTGTGTTTTTTTTTTAGTATAACCATGTCCTAAATATTGTCTGGGAAATGCTTATACGAAAATATCCATTATTTATCTGAGATTCAAATTTAACTGGGCATCTGTGTTCTGTCTGGCAACCCTAAAGACAGGCAGGGTCATGAGTGCGGAGATGGGACAGCATAGGCTAGAGGAGGGCCCCAACCCCCGCCTGGGAATATCAAGGAAGGCTTCCCGGAGGAGGCGTGGTCTAAGCCAAGAGGGGAAGGGAAAATAAGGATTCTCAGAGTGAGTGGGGGTGGTGCTGGGGCAGGGAGCGTGGCAGAGAGAACAGCCTGTCAAAGTCTGGGCGGCAGAGGAAGCAGGCCAGTTGGAGGAACAGAGGGAAGGTGGGCGTGATGGACTGTCTGTGGAAGATGGCAGGACGGAGAGAGAGGAGGCTAGAGGGTGGGGGGCAAGCCCTGCAGGGCCTCAAACGCATATTAATGAGCAGTGGGGGCTGCTGCGGGGTCCACCTGGAGGGTTACAATCCAGTTGGCACTTTTGAAGGCTGGCTGCTGAGCGGGGACTGGCTGGGGTGAGGGTGGGCAGGATGGAGGGATGGAGAGAAGGGACGATGGCCATTTTGCAGGTGAAAGAACAGAGGTTCAGGTGACCTGCCCAAGGTCCCATTTGCAACAGGGCCCTCGATTCCAGCCTGGCAGATGGACTCTGAGGTTGATTCTCAGAAGCTGCAGCCCCTCTGATGAGAGGCCTGGGGGGGGGGGGGGGAGGGGGGGGGGTGGCGCACGGGGGCTCCTCCCCCTGCGTGTCTGTCCCAGCCAGCGTGCCCGCCTGTCCACGTTGCTTGCGGCGCATGCCCTCTCCAGAATGAGCATTCGCTTCCCACCCCCCCTTCTCCCCCAGGGAGGATGGTTTTCACCTGGAACTTCAGAGAGTGGCTACGGGACCTGCTGGCCATCCTGCGGCAGGGGTCAGGGTCCTGCAGGACCAAAACGGTGCCAGTGCAGTGGGCAGAGGGGGCAGGGAGGGCTGGTGTTGGCAGGCCCAGCAGGAGCCTGTTGCTAGGACACCAGCCAGCTTTCAGAGAACCGCTCCGCTCCGTGAGATGTTCTCTTGCGCAAAAGCCTCCTTGAAAATGTCACAGGGCCACTCCTGGGAGACCGGGGCTTGGCCAGGCTGGAGTGCCCCGGCGCTGCCCGGAGGGAGGCCGGAACCACGGAACCAGGTGGGGAGAGGACAGAGAACTCTGTCCCATCCTCCCTGCCGGGCCTGACCGCTCCTGGCACGCCCCCTCCCTCTCATTCTAAGTGGCCTTGCTCCTGCCAGGAGCCTCTTTCTGCCTTCCCACCCCAGGGCCTTTGCATGGGGCCTTCCCCAGCCTGTTGCTCCCTTTCACTCACTTCCCACAGCGCTTCTCAGGGAGAGAGCAACCCCATCGCCAGGCCTTCTGTGCCATGGGGCCTTCTCCCTGCGGGGCACTGTCCTCAGGGACCTGTGGTCACTTCTGACTGTGTGGGCTCAGTGCTGGGGGGGAGGGGGCACTGGCTTCCTCCGCGCTGTGCGCCTGCTCCAGTATGCACTTGGGGTGTGTGTTTGTTGACAGTGAATTTGGGGCCCAGGGCCTGTGTAGGCAGAGGTGTTGGTTCTGAAGCTGGGAGGAGCTAGGAGGACTGGCTCCCTGTGCTGGGGTCTCTGTTCCTCCCTGGCCGAGGCAGGGGCTGAGGGCTTGGACCTTGGAAAGGAGTCAGAGTTAGATGAAGGGAGAGATGGGGCAGAAAGAAGGCCTGGGTGGGGAAACGGAGGCTTATGGAGGGCAGCTCTGAGGTCGGCTCCCTCTACCATCTGAGCCTCCCTCTCCAGTCCTGCCTCTGCCAGGGCCACAGGGAGCGGTGTCTTAAGTAACTCACGGAGCAGGGCCCGGAGAGGGCCAGGTGAGGTGAACGGGGACCATTGGTTGTCACGGGCCACGGGGAGCCCCAGGACAAAGACCTGTGCCCAGCCGGTCCCCAGGGGCCCCTAATCGGCTTGGTGTGGCCTCCGGGCAGCTGGTTGTGTACCGGCGTTTTTCAGGCAAACCAGGGCAACACGTGTGGGAGGGGCTGTGCACGGGCAGCGCGGACACCTGTCCCCCAGGCCTGTTCCTGGCCCCGCTGTGGCTCACTTATGTGACCCAGGCATCCCTTGGCCCTCTCTGAGCCTCAGTGTTGCCACCTGAGAAATGGAGCAGCTGCCAGTAGGTAACCTGAGAGGCCCGAGGTGGAGGCTGACCTCCCACAGCCCCACCCACTTGACCCCAGGCCACGCCCTCCCCCAAAGAGAGGAAAGGAGTTGGGCATGAAGAGGTTGGGAGGCTGAGAAAGGTAAATATCAGTCCCCCCCTATCAGGGGGGACTTTCCCCCCTTGGTCTCTAAAATCTCCTAAAATCTGATTTTGTAGGAAATCGTGGGCCCAAGGGAGACCTGTTTCCCTGGCAACCGTTTTCCTCTCTCAGCCCCCTCCATGCAAGCCCCCCTCCAGATCTCTGTAGAGGCTCATGAAGTTGCCATGGCAACGAGGACCTGGGGGAGCGGCCCTACACCTGGAGCCCAGACTGGGACAGAGGAATGGGGACCTGGGCAGGGCCAGAGCCCAAGAGGGGCACCCAGGGACTGGCTCCATGCCAGGCACTTAGGGCTGAAGGAGCAAAGAACAGAACCCCGCACCCCCTGAGGAGGGAGGGGGCTCCTCCTGGGGCCTCCTGCCCACCCTCCCCTCTCGGCGCAGGAGGGCTCCCCAAGGGCTGGTGTCCAACCCCATCTCAAGGCGTGAGGGGCTTGCGTCTCTGGCCTGTTCTGCCGCGTAGCCTTGGCACCTGGCTTCCCCTCTCCGGGCCTCAGTGTGTTGGTCTGTGAAGTGGGGGCATTGGACTCCCAGCGCCTCCACTGTGGTGTCAGGAGCTAACGCGTGTGTCTGGGGTGGTCTGTGCCCAGACGGGAGCTCCCCCTGGGCCCGACTCTTCACCCGCCTAATTAAAACCCTCAACGCAAGGCAGGGGCACCTGCTGAGGTCCGTGGGTTTATGCAAAGTGAGCGCAGGTGGCAGCCTGGCCTTCCATAGACGGGAGAGCACGGGCACATCCTAGTCTGCGCTGCGTCTGTTTCATCATCTAAAAAATGGGGTAATAACTGGTCTTTCCCCACTGGGCGATGCGAGGAAGGAGCGAGGGGGTGTTTGCGAAGCAGGAACACGGGGCATGGCACGAGGTAGGGAAGGGGGCTGAGTGGGGAGTTTGAACCGGCTGGAGGAGGGAGAGTGGGGGGACCCCCTTCTGAGCTCTGGCTCTCCTGAGGCCCGGGGTTCTGCAGCCACCCAGTCCCACCTGCAGCCCTGATGGGGTCTAGTTCTGGTGCGTGTGTGTTCCCCATGGTCGGGGTGCAATGGTGACAGGGTGTGCGGGGCAGCCGGTGATGCAGGGGAACTCGTTCTGGCCCCAGCGCACACAAGAGCTGGTGATGACGGGCATTCCGAGCGCTCCTAGGCCGGCCGCCTCAGAGGCACCTCTGCCCACTCAGGCAGCCCCGATCCTGACGACGGTTTGGGGTGGTGTGGAGGGGTCTTGGGGGCCCTCTCCGTGTGGCTCAGAGGAGGTTAAGCAGATGTGGGGGCATCAGTAGCCCTGACCTTGGGGAGGGGAGCAGTAAAGAGCCAGGTGCCCACAGAGGGTGTCTGGGCGCAGCAGGGGGTGGCCTGGGACCAGGCTTGGGGCCAGGAGGCCGCCAGCTGAGCATCTTCTCTGCATTTCAGGTCTCCCATGAGTTTGCCATCAACTTCAACCCCACCAACCCCTTCTGCTCAGGTGAGCGTCCAGCCTCCCACACCTGCCCTGGGTTTGCGCTGGGTCACCTTCCTGGGCGGAGGGAGGGCGGAGTACAGGCCTACAGGCTTCCATACCTTCCTCCTCTCCCCTCCCCCTCCGGCTTTCTCAACACGAGCAAGATGTGGGCTGGAGTTGCAGGTTGGAGTCGGGCGGTCCTGGGTTCAAGAGTAGCTGCTGCCCTTTCCTGGCTGTGTGACCTTGGCGAGATCCCTGCACTCTGAGCCTTTGGCTTCTCACCTGCCCTAGGAGATGTGATAGCTGCTTAGCTCACATCACTGCGGTCAGGTGAGAATTCCGGAGAGCGCTGACCGGAAGCCCTGGGTAGACCAGGACGGGGTAAGGGTGGCAGATTACATCCCTGCCTCTCACCTCCTGCCAGCTCTGGCTGGGAAGGCCTGGCCCTGCCCCACTCCGCCTTTCACAGAGAGCCTAGGCACCCAAAGGTTGAAGGTTGCCTGGGGCAGGCAGTGGGCGGGCAGTCTGTGCTCAGCCCGTACCCCAAAGCCTCAGAGTCAGTCAGGAAAGTACTGGAGGAGGAAGAGGAGCCCCGGGTGGGTATGGAAGAGGGCGGTCCTGCCATCATGGGACTTTCAGCCTAGGATTTGGCCTGGCTGAGGCACCCCCCTTCGTGGGGGAGCCCCAAAGCTGGCCTGGCTTGTACTTGGAAGGGAAAGGCATTAAGTCCCCAACTTGGGGATGATGCCGAGACTCAGAAGCCACAAGTTGACCCTGCACCCCTGTCTGGTTTGGGGCGGGTCTCCAGAGATATTTTGTCCAAGTGCCTGTTAGTCACCCTCACTGCTGGCCAGAGACCTGCTAGAGAGGACCACAGGGCAGGCGGGATATTCTCGGGCTCAGAATGGTGGCTGTTTACAGACAGAGAACCTACTGTGTGCAGGGGCGGGGGAAGCAGCTCAGTGCCCCCAGCGAGCCCGAGCAAAAGCCACAGCGTGTCCCAAATGGACTTCCTGATGGCTCCCCGGGGCCCTGACGTGTCATCGCAGGCTTTTCCAAGCCTGCTGCACCCCCTCCCGCCAACTGCCCAAAGGTAGATTATCAGTCTCATGAACGGGAAACGGACTCAGAAAGATTAAACTTGCCGCAGGTTACACTGCTGAGAAGGTGCAAAGGTAAGATTTGAACTCAGGTCCGTCTGACTCCACATTCGGGGCTCTTTATACCGCCCGGCCCCGCCCTCCGGTAGCTTCCAGCAGGGGCATTCGGGGTAAGCAATTGGGATGAGAGAAGGCATGGGCTGACCTAGACTCTGGTCTCTGAGGCAGGCGTGGACGGCATCGCCCAGGCATACTCGGCCTGCCTGCCCCACATCCGCTTCTACGGTCCCACCAACTTCTCTCCCATCGTCAACCACGTGGCCCGGTTTGCGGCCCAGGCCACGCAGCAGCAGACAGCCACGGTGAGTAGGGGCCCAGCCCCGCCCCAGCTCGGAGCCTGTTTCCTTTCTGAAAAGGGAGAGGGAAAGCTGCGGGGGTGCTGGGAGCATCTGGGGCAACCTGAATGGGACAGTGTCTGGGACTGGCCTGGGAGTGGCTTTTCATAAAATTCCTGGGGCTTTGGGCTGGAATTGTTTGGATGCCTGCAGCCAGCCAGGCCATTGTCCTGCCCAGCTATTATCCGCCGGAGCCAGCTTTCAAAGGAATGGAAAAAAGACCCGCATTCTTGTTTAAGGGAAAAACCAGGAGGGGGAGTAGGAAGGAAGCCAGCAGCCCTCACTAGGCCCTTTCACCTGCTGAGAGCTGGTAGGACTGAGGTGGAGGTGGGGCCCCTACCGCCCTCTGGCTGGATCCTAGGTCTGTGGGGGGAGCCTGGGCCCGGGGAGGGCCAGGAGGTGCCTGTGTGTTCTGGTCTGCATCCTGACCAGCCCTAATCCTCCCAGCACTCCAGCCACGTTATGGTGACCTGGTCCTCCCTTGGGAGCCAGCTCCCTCCTGTTGCCCACCCCAGCTCGGGCGTCTCCATCCATCTCTGGGCTGCAGGAGAGGGGCCAGGGCGTCTCCATTGGCTCCTCTTACACCAAGAATGGCTACTAATAGGTCTCTACTTCTTCCCAGTCCTGGGTCCCGTCTCACCTTGCACAAAGTATGGGGGCCGTGGGCTGTCCGATGGTTCGGCCCTGTGAGAAATGGCTCACCTGTCTGAATTCAAATGACGGACTCAGAGACAGAAGGATGGTGAAAATGAGACCTTCAATACCCTCTGAGAGGGGGCGTCCGTCCCATTGTACAGGCACACCTGGTGCAGCCAGCACAGCCTATTAATTTAGTCCCTCCTCCGGTTCCTCATTGGCTGAGTACTATGGGGTCACCCATCTCCTCACATGTCACCTAGGTCTTCCCGTCTCCCACTGGGCCATTAAAAAAAGAAAAATTGGGCTGAAGCTGAGTACTATGGGGTCACCCGTCTCCTCACATGTTGCCTAGGTCTTGCTGTCTCCCACTGGGCCATTAAAAAAAAGAAAAATTGGACTGAGGCCTTTCTAGCTGCCTCCACCTCCCCTGTCTAGCTGAGGCAGACACCCCGGGGTTTCCACCAGGATGCTGGCTAACCCACAGGCAGTTCTTGGTCCCTCCTCCCTCCATTCTGTTTGCCCTGGGGAAATTCAGCAAATGCCCTCAAAAGCCAGCCATGTGAAGATGGATCACAGAGGTCCATTTCCTACAGTCCCAAGCTCTGGGAGCCCCCAAAACCCTGTTCATACGCCAGCGCCCCCACATCATGGCTGTGTGACCCGCAGGTTGCTTAAGCTCTCGGACCTGTTTGCTCACCTGAGCACTGCAGGTGACGGCACAGCACTTGCCTGCTAGCAGCACGGGGAGGATTCAGCCAGATGAGCATGCACATGGCTCAGCACAGAGCCCCACGCACCATGAGCGCTCGGAGTGTGGGTGGCTGCGTCTTCTGGGGCCGTCTCTTGGGCCAGCATTTGGTGATGCCGGGCACATTTAGGCCCGAGGCAGAAGAAAACAATCGGTGCATTAACTGATGCTTTTATACAGCTGCTTTGGGGGGAACGCTTGGTGTGGCTTCACCCGCCCTGTTCCCAGGCACACGCACATGCATGCCCACGCACAGGAAAGAGAGCAGGTGGTAGGAAGTGTCTCTCTAGGCAGAGCTGTACTCCATTCATTCACACAACACATCTTTTGTTTTTAAATATATTTTTTATTGATTTCAGAGAGGGAGAGAGATGGAAACATCAATGATGAGAAAATCATCAATCAGCTGCCTCCTGCACGCCCCCCCACTGGGGATCGAGCGCACAACCTGGGCAAGTGCTCTGACCGTAATTTGAACCATGACCTCCTGGCTCATAGGTCGATGGTCAGCCACACCGGCTGGGCCACACAACCCGTCTTTACTGAGAATATTTCTGTGTAGTATGGGGGAGGGGGGGGGCACTGTGATACGCAAGACATGGCCTCTGTCCTCCCAGAGCCTGCAGTCTAGTGGGGGGCCGGGCCAGAGAGCAGCAACCGAGATGTAAGGCGATTAAACCTGCGGTGACAGAAGTAGAGTCATAAAAGTGGCACCCGACCCAGAGGGCGCAGGAAGGCTTCTTGGAAAAGTGATGTCCAGGCTGAGACTTGGAGGATGCTTGAGAGCTAGCCTCGAGTTGTGTGTGTGCACCTGCATGTGTGAACATGTGTGTACATGCACGTGGAGCACCTCAGGCAGAGGGAACAGCATGTGCAAAGCCTGTAGGCATGGTGTGGTGGGAGAGGGCTGAGCCAGCTCCTACTGGGCCGTGGAGGGTGGTGAGGAATCTGAATCTGCGCTTGAGGGCAGTGGGGAGCCACTGAAGGGTGTTAAGAGGTTCTGGTGGGGCCAGGGGACTCTTACCACGGGGCCTTCATTTCCCCCTCTGCTCTGGCCCATAACACCCGGGCCATCTTGTCCATGGCCCATCCTGGTTGGCCGCCTAGGTGTCTGGTGTTCCCGTGGAGGGGACCTGGGAAGCAGCCTGGACCCTGGGAATTTCCCCCTCCCACTCCTACCCCAGGGCCCTCGGCAAACCCACTTCTCAGAAATAAGCCAGGGAGTGCAGACTGATCGGAATCGTGTGGTCAAGTCAGTTTCTTATCAATCACATCACAACGTTAAATGGGCTGGTGGCTGGTTACAGCCCTAGAAACCCAAAGAGCCTCCGGCAAAGGCAGAGGATGCAGGGCAGTCCCTGAAGGGTGCTGGGAGTCTGGGTTTGGGGTTCAACCTGACAGTGATGGGCTGTTTCTGGAGCACAGACAGGGTGAGATGGCCTGTGAGGTGGAGAAGAGGGTACAGGGGGCTATCCTGAGGATTGCTCAGGGTGTGGGGGAGGGGCGGGTGCCCCAAGGAGGTGCCCCATGGGCAACGCTGCAGTGGAAAGAGCTCACGGCTGGGAGGCCTTCACATCTGCTTGGGACGGAGCGGGAGACACTCAGGTGGGTTTGGGAGCTGAGGCTGGGAAGGGTGCGCCAGGCGGAAGTAAACCAGGAAAGGCTCCCATGGAGGTGGGACATCTTAGGGTAGCGCCGACCAGGATTGTCTGTGGGGACAGCAGAGCCCCTTCCCCCCTCCTACTGCCCGACTCTGCCCTTCATTCTCCCCGTCCACAGCCCCTCCCAGGTCCCTTCTGAGCTATCTTGGGGGGGGGGGGCATGGACCCCTGGGGTTGTAATGAACCCTAGAGGCTCCTGGACAGCCTGGGCTCTGCCCGTGATGGGCAAGGAGCCCGGGACTTCCATCGCCAAGGCTGGTGACCCCAAGCTGAGGACAAACGTGAGTGTGGGCATTGTGACGCGACGGTTGGCACCCAGGAGCAGGTGAAAGTCCAGTGCCACGGCTCTGGACCTCGCCCTGGGCTGCTGTGTCGGACATTCTGGCCTCCTGACGCTAGGGTGCTGGGTGAGGGTGAAGGCCCTACTCCTGGAGAGACAGTGCAGGCAAAGGAGGGCGCTGTGGGAAGAACCCCAACTTTGGAGTCAGCTAGGCTTGGTTCAGAATTGAGACTGGCTGGGAGGCCTGAAGTCACTTAACCTCACTCAGTGCATCTTCTCTCTAAAGGAGACTTGCAGTGGGAAGGTGCCAGGGAGGGCCTGTGCAGGCCCTGTGTCCACAGGGACTTCCTCACCCAGATAGCTGGTGCCCACTGCCCTGCAGCAGCCCAGGCCCTGTGCGTGCCCACCTCCCAGGACAGGGCTGAGGGAGCTCAGGCCTGCGCGCTCCAGGTCTCCCAGGGCAGACGTGTGGCTGACTGCATGGGGAGCCAACAGGGCCGCGAGGGATGGAGGATGGGAGGCCTCATCGCCAGGCCTCTCAGTTCCTGTCTTCTTGCCAGCGGGGTGCCCGGGAATATTTCTGGTGGGATGGAAGCACCCGACTTAGGGAAGGGTTGCTGGGTTGGGGGGCTGGCAGCAGCAGCCCTCCACTGCAGGGGTTCAGGCCACCATCTCCATAGCAACAGGTATCCCCAGTCAAGGGTTTGATCTCTTAAAGGCACAGTGCAGGAGCCAGCTACTACTGCCAGGACTGGGATTCGGATCATGGGTTCAGGCCTCCATGTGGCTCACCCCCTCCCTCCTTCCAGTGTGCTTGGGGGACAGGCAGGAGAGCAAGGCCGCCCAGGGGCTGAACTTGTATCCCCTGTACGTCCCTCAGGGAGCAAACGGGTGTGAAGGTGGCCAAATGCTGACCTGGGGGCTGACTTGGGCCTGCTGTCCACAACCTTGGCTGGCCTGGGCCCCAACTTCCTCTCCTGAGAAGCGGAAGGGTCGGCGTAAAAGGCAAAAGCTCTAAGTGGAGATTAGGCAGCTCCGAGGGCTCCTCGATTTATGGAGGGAAAACTGAGTTCCCCCAGAAAGGGGCCAGAGGGTGCCAAGGACAGAGCTGAGTTGAAAACGAAGTCTCGGGCTGAGACTGGGTCGCGCTTTAAACAGACAAGAGGGCTGCAGGGGCCGCAGTGCTGGAGGTGGCTGGGACCCGGAGACAGCTGTGGAGTCACTTCCTCCCATGGGTCAGAGGGCTGTGAAGGGCGGGGATGGGATGGGAGGGGGAAGGGCCCTCAGGGCCCTGTTGAGTGCCCACTGACCTCCCCACAGCAATACTTCATCCTCCTCATCATCACGGACGGCGTCATCAGTGACATGGAGGAGACACGGCACGCTGTGGTGCAGGCTTCCAAGCTGCCCATGTCCATCATCATCGTGGGCGTGGGCAACGCCGACTTCGCTGCCATGGAGTTCCTGGACGGGGACAGCCGCAGGCTGCGCTCCCACACTGGGGAGGAGGCGGCCCGAGACATCGTGCAGTTCGTGCCCTTCCGAGAGTTCCGCAACGTGAGTGGGGGCCAGGCTGGGGACGGGGGTGTCACTGGGCCCCAAGGGCCATAAAAACCAAGGATGAAGATCTTGGTATTGTCTGCCCAGTCCTTGGCTCCTCCATCCTCAGCTCCATTGGCTGAACACTTCCTGCGGGCCTATTAAGTGCCAGGTGCCATGTCAGGCCCTGCCCTGGATAAGACCATGTGATACTGTGAACACTGGCTTCGGAGGACCTGCCCTCTAACTCCGACCAGAAGTCAGTTACCCGCGTGAGGCAGATTTCAGGAGACAGAGGGGCAAGAGCAAAGGCCTAGAGGTGAGAGGCTTTCCTCGTACACCTGGCCCGGCCGCCTCACGTCCCAGATGGGAACCAGGCCCCTCTCAGGATGGCTCATCTCCCTCAGGGCCTCTGCAGGGAGGACTGGCTCCTGGAGTGACTGTGCCAAGTGCAGGTGACCCCAGGTCGGCACACAGGAGGCTGTGCCGGGCCCATGAGGAGCCTCTCAGATGCCACCCCTGTACTGCCAGCCTGTGGCCTAACTTATCTGGCCAGAGGCGCACTGTGTGGCCTTGGACAAGTCCTTGACCTCTTTGGGCCTCAGTTCTCTCAGCTATAAGGACAACCCCCCGACCCCCTTCCTCCACGTGCTCTGGCTCAGCAAGTCCCAGCAAGAACTGACTGCTCTTGCCCTAGTCAGTTTGGCTCAGTGGATAGATCATCAGTCCTCAAACTGAAGGTCAGGGGTTCAATTCCCGTCAAGGGCATGTTCCCCCTCTCCCCCCAAGGGCTCGTTTGGGAGGCAGCCAATCAATGTGTCACTCTCACATCGATGTTTCTTTCTCTGTCTCTCCCTCCCTTCCACTCTATTAACAGAAGAATATCCTCGGGTGAGCATTAACAACAGCAAAAGAACTGACCACTCTGTGTTGTACCTGGTGGTCTCACATCCCTGCCCAGTCTCCTCTGGGTTTGCCTGAGACGGTTCAGTTCCTTCTCTGGAGCATTAGCCGTCTGAGGACAAATGCCAGGCACTGGCCATCGCTCATGCTCGCCCGCAGTGACTGAGCACCCCCGGCGCCTGGGTGTTCAGCAGTGAACCAGTCACGGCCCACTTATGCCAGCCATGGTGCTGGGGATGTGTTTGCCACACGAGGAAGCTGTGCAGCAGCTTGCCTCCCAAGGGCTCTTGACCCGAAAAGCCCCCCACTGACAAATTCTTTCTAAAATGTTACTCCCAGGCACCCCAAGTGCTCAGGGTAAGAGTTACACCTAGTCCGGCTGGTGTGGCTCAGTGGTTGAGCATCGACCTATGAACCAAGAGGTCATGGTTCAATTCCCCATCAGGGCACATGACCAGGTTGTGGGCTCGATCCCCAGTGGGGGTCTTGCAGAGGCAGCTGATCAATGATTCTCTCTCATCATAGATGTTTCTCCCTTCCTCTCTGAGATCAACAAAAATATATTAAAAAATAAAAAAGAGTTACATGTAATGCGAAGGTACTGCTAACGGTGGGACTTCAGGCAGGGCCAGGGATGAGGGACGCCAGTTTAGACAGCCCTGGCCCCAGCCGATCTGTCCAGGGACGCCTTCGGGAGCAGCTCTCTGAGAAGAGTGCCCCTCACAACTGCTCAGTAACCCGTATTCTCTCCTCTCTCAACCCCCCTCCACCCTGCAGGCAGCAAAAGAAACGTTGGCCAAAGCCGTGCTGGCGGAGCTGCCCCAGCAAGTTGTGCAGTATTTCAAGCATAAAAACCTGCCCCCCACCAGCTCGGAGCCCGCCTAAGCCGGCCCCCAGCAGCAGCATGCGCCGGCCTCCCGCCCGCCCCAGGAACGTGCACGCTCGCCCTGCTTCCTTACTGGGGCTTTTTTTTTTTTTTAACCGATCCACATTTATTTTTTACAATCGGACCTCCACCCCCATGTCCCCCAGCCCAGCTGGGCTTCCTTGGTTGGAGTCGACTGGTGATGCTTCCAGGCCAAACCGGCCTCCTCTCCTCCTGTCCCCGCCACCCCTGAGTATTGAATGTACTTTGTATAATTTTTGTGGAATTATTACTGTTATTAAAGAGAATAAAATTTTTACAATCATGACTAGCTGCCGACTGAGAGGAACGTGTCCCTGGCTCACACTCTGCGCCGCAGCCCGCACCTAGTTCCTGCTCCAACAGCACTCTGCTCGGTATACTCGGGGTGATGAGGAGGCTCAGGCGTCCCTGTGTCAGCGCCTTCCTCAGCCGGGACCCAGTGGGCTCACCGCGCTGGGCAGTGAACAGGAAAAGCCCTTCCCCAGGAAGCCTTCCGTTTGGGGACCTGCATCCCACATGACCAGGGAGAGAGCTGTTGAACTGGGACGGGACCCGGCACAATGCACATGCTCAGTAAACCCTGTGGGTGAACAGAATGCACAGGCCCCACCAGCGACTGGGTTTCCTGGCCCCTGCAGAGCCCACACCAGTGTTTCGGATGCTCCCGAAAAGGGCTCAAGGGGCCTGTGTATAACCAGTAACTGACATTCACATTAAGCACCATGTATACTGGAGTTCCCCCATGTTGGCCCAGCCAGCACCACATGGTCACCACCTTCTTCCTCTTGGTCCAAACTTACACACACACAGGTCAGCAGTCCCTGCCACCCACCTGCTGCCCTTCCAGGCATCTCAGACACCGGTGTCCACCTGTGGGAGAGGCTCTCTGGCCTCAGGATGCCAACAGGGCTGCTCTGGGCTCCGACCACGACACCAGCCAGGAGACCCTCCTCTCAATCCCCTGCCACTCGCAGTTCCCGGCCCTTGCCCACACAACGCATCTTTCTCTCACCCACCTCCCCTGGGGGCCCACGCAGAGGCCTGTGTGGAACCAGTAACGGACATTGACAGTAAGCACCGCTCCCCCCTCCGTGTTTAAGTGCTTCACAGGCATAATCCCGATGAGCCCTCCCAACAGCCCATCCAGGACCACTTCAGAGACGCGCACACAAGCAGGCAGCCAGTCGCATCTCTCAGAGGCAGAGCCAGACCTTAGATCCGGGTCTGGCAGACTCCAGAGCCCACACTCGCCCGCTGCATTGAACGACCTCCCTGAGCCCTCCAAGGGTCTCTGCTGCAGCTGGTAGTTTGTCCTTCCTCTCTACTGGACCTGGGAAGCCACTCACCTTGACCTCTCCCAGGTCATGCTTACTAGTGGCGGCTACACCTGGGTGGTGCACCAGGCAGGGTCCCCCTACGGGTGCCTGGTGACCTCAGGAGCCAGTGTCTACCTGGTGGAAGCGAGTGAAGGATATCTCCATCCTAAATTTTCTTTGCTTTTTCATCCCAAGTTTTCAATGCGTCTGCTGATTCTGTAGCCACCAAAAGTCGGCTAAAATATCCCGTAGGGACACCCTCGCTTCTCCTGAGAGGGCTGCCTGGAGCCCCGATCCCCCCAAGGACATTGGGGAATCACACAAAGGTCTCCTTGTTGTTTTTCTGGAGGGGAAGACGACAGCTGAGCCATATACCCACGGCTAGCACACCCGAGCCAAGGAACCGCGTGTGCCCGAGCAATTAACATTTAGCTGAGAGGGAAGCGCACACAACCAGCTGCTGGTGGCAGCTCTGACGACCACATCTGACCCTTCGTCCTGTCAGTGTTCTTGCTACAACTGAGGAATGCCAGCAGGATGCACAGACCTGCCACAAAGCACCACAAAGCACCACTACCGGGAGCTCCGGCCCCCGCCTGCACACGGGGAGGCCGGCCTAACAGTGCTGATGGGATGGCTACTATCCACTAAGCACTGTGCCAGCTACCACACCGAGGAGCGACCTAGGTGATCTCACCCTCGCTAGGAAGTTGGTGTCGCTGTTATTCATCGAGGAGGAAACAGGCCCAGAGGTTAAGGGCCTGGCTCAAGTGACCCAGCTAGTGCATGTCTGGTCCAAGCTCACAGCCACTGTGGCACCTCTACAGAAGGTGGAACCAGGCCAAGTTCCCAGGAAGCAGCAGGGGAAAGGTCTTGGGCAAAAGAAGCGTCTCTCTTGGGCGGAAAGAAGGCAGGCAGAAGGGGAGACCCTGAGGCGGAGAATGAAAGAAATGCCGGGGGCGAGCCTGAGACACCTCTAGTCGGGCCTGACTTGCAGTCCAGGATGCTCCTGACAAACGCTCGCGCACCCGCCCCACCCCTGAATGCGAAAAGCCAGCTGTCCCTCCTCCCGAAAAAGACATAAACAGGTCACGGCCACCCGGTAGGTCCAGTCCCATCAGCTCCCTGTTCCTCACCGATGCCGTGCTTGCTTTGAACTTCATGCTCCCCTTCTCCCCGCCCAGGTGGGTGACAGGGCCACGGCTAGAGAGGGCACGGAGTGACACAAACTAGATCAGTGACGGCGAACCTTGTGAGCTCGGCGTGTCAGCATTTTGAAAAACCCTAACTTAACTCTGGTCCGTGTCACATATAGAAATTTTTTGATATTTGCAACCAGTAAAACAAAGACTTATATTTTTGATATTTATTTGATATATTTAAATGCCATTTAACAAAGAAAAATCAACCAAAAAAATGAGTTCGCGTGTCACCTCTGACACGCATAGGTTTGCCATCAGTGAACTAGATAATCCAAATAGAGCTGACAATAGGATTCCTCACAGATGAGCTTTCTCCCTTGCATAGTTCAAGAGCTGTGAGGATACTGCCACTCTGGCCCCAGCCCATGTGGCTCAGTTGGTTGAGCACTGTCCCATGCACCAAGAAGTCGGTCGCTGATTCAATTGCAGGCTTGTTCCCCAGTGGGGGGCGTGCAGGGGGCAGCCAATCGATGTTGCTCTCTGACTCTCCTCTAAGATCAATAAAAACTTTTTTTTTTTTTAAGCCAAAACCGGTTTGGCTCAGTGGATAGAGCGTCGGCCTGCGGACTGAAAGGTCCCAGGTTCGATTCCGGTCAAGGGCATGTACCTGGGTTGCGGGCGCATCCCCAGTAGGCGATGTGCAGGAGGCAGCTAATCGATGTTTCTCTCTCATCAATGTTTCTGGCTCTCTATCTCTCTCCCTTCCTCTCTGTAAAATATCAATAAAATATATTTTTCAAAAAAAAAGTTTTTTTAAAAACTTTGTACCTTTTATAAAAATATATTTTTATTGATTTCAAAGAGGAAGGGAGAGGGAGAGATAGAAATATCATGACGAGAGAGAATCACTGATTGGCTGCTTCCTGCACACCCCACGGTGAAGACTGAGTCTGCAACCTGGGCATGTCCCCCAACCAGGAATCGAACCATGACCTCCTGGTTGATGTTGCTCTCTGACTCTCCTCTAAGATCAATAAAAACTTTTTTTTTTTTTAAGCCAAAACCGGTTTGGCTCAGTGGATGGTCAGGCTCAATAAAAACATTAAAAATAATCCTAATTATTGCCACTCCAGATAACATAAGCAAGTGTAAAGAAACGCACTCTGACCTCGGTTTTTATCCCTCAGGACTAGTCATAACACCTGTTCTCTATTAAGACAGGAGCAGCGCTTCCTCCGTTTTCCTGTTCTTTGGGTCTGAACCACACGGCCTCCACTGGATGCTTTACAGGGCTGCTTCCTCTACTGGACAGACCAGGTCCTGCTTTGCTGTTCAGGACTCCCACAGAGCCTGTGTCTCATCCCAACGCCCACACTACCCGGTACAACAGAATACGGTGCAATGACCACCAGCGATTCTCAGTCTCGCCTGAGACACACGTGAGCAGAACTCTCCGCCTGAAGAGCCTCAGCCTTCGCCACAATCTAGCTGCTCTGGTAGATGGGGAGGGAGCTGGGAGCACAGATTCAGTGCAGCAAAAGCAAGAGCATGTTATTAGCCTTCAAATTAAGCATGTTTTAAATTCCTGCAATGCTTTGTTAACTTCCTCCAACGTAACAGAGGCCGCGAGGCCGCGTAATGGCCTCTTATTCAGTCACCCCACACAAAGGTCTGCCTCCTGGAACGTTCTGTAATCCTGACAGCACGGGTCACAGAACAATGAAGCAGAGAAGCAGAAGGTGCCTACATCAGTTTTACCTACACGCCTTGTTGGTTCGAATGGAACTGACGTGCCTGGGCTGCCGGTCAGGAACAATTAGCACAAAGTGGTTTCGAAAAAGAGGAAGAAACCTCAGGCATCAGCTCGGGGTGAAGGGGAGTCGCCATCTGCCAATGGGCACTGGAATGCCACTGCATGGGAAGGGGGGAAGGAGCGGGTTGGATGAGATCCAGGGGCCTCTCTGCCCACGTTAACACCGAGCAGCTTCTCTGCCTGCCAGCCTCACAGTGTCACACATCCTGTCTCTCTCCGTCTCACACCCGAGGAGGGAGAAACAATTGGCGTAGGAAGCCGGGGGAGAAAAGAGCCCGCACAGGCCCGTTCTCCCGAAGCAGGGGGCCTACAGGTTCGGTTTGGTTAATCCTCACCTGAGGATGTTTTCCCTTGATTTTTTAGAGAGTGGGAGGGAAGGGGAGAGACAGAAACATCTATGGAAAGAGACACATCAACCAGTTGCCTCCCCCACACACCCCTACCAAGGCTGGGGATCGGACCTGCAACCCAGTTATATGCCCTTAACCAGAATCGAACCCGGGACCCTTCAGTCCACGGGCTGACACTCTATCCACTGAGCCAAACCGGTAGTTTTTTTTTTAAATTACCCCTGTTCTTGAGGCCTCCATACCAGTCTCCCTCCATCCTTTTCTCCCTCCGTCTCTGAGACACAGAGGTGGAGCAATACCTCTAGGTCTTGGCGGCTCACCCCCTCGGAGCTGCTCTGTGTGGGAAGGGAGAGGAGGAGAGGCAGCAGAGAAAAGGAGGAAAGGGCCAGGGCAGCACCTCTAAGCTAGACATAGCTCCCAGAGTTAGAAGCCACAACTACAAAAGTATCAACCAAAGAGGAACCTCGGCAGAATACAGAGCAGTCAGAATATGCGGGCGGGTCCCCTAGGAACCCAGGAGCCGCCAAAACTAAGCCATCTTGTCCACAGACCTATATGCCCTTGTGATTTCTGGCTCTGATAAAATAAGGCCTATGTCTGCTTCTCTAAGGTTTAGTCTTTTTTTTTTCCTTTTAAAAAATATTTTTATTGGTTTCAAAAAAGAAGGGAGAGTGAGGAGATAAAAAACATCAATGATGAGAAATAACCATTGATCGGTTGCTTCCTACATGCCCCAGACTGGGGATCAAGCCCACAACCCAGGCATGTGCCCTGATCAGGAAGTGAACTGTGACCTCCTGGCTCATAGGTTGACGCTCACCACTGAGCCATGCCAGCCAGGCTAAGGCTTAGTTTTAAATGGGATTAGATAAAGGGAGGAGAAAGACTGTTTTCTCAGAGTAAGGAAACACCTCACAGTGAAAGATGAGTGCAAAGTGACACCCCCTGCAGATGTAGTTTTTAATCTTAGTCACACAACATCAAGAACTGGTTAGTTCCAGGGGAGTGCGCGAGTTCATTACCTGGACCAGTTCTCTCCGTCCGCATCTCCACAATGCAGTGCCACCAAACAATGCGTTCATCTAGGAGAGAATGTTTAAAAGAACACCTGTCCAAGAATGGCCCTTGCTTCCCTGTGCTGTTCAGAAAGGAAAAAAAACAAAACAAAACAAAACAAAAAACCACAAGAAAGCAACATAACCCAAACCCTGTACCAGCCAGCTGCCCTGTCTTCCAAGGGCGTTTTCAGTGGGGTTTCTGCCAGGCCCTGACCCCCACCCCACGTGAGTGAGGAGAGAGGCAGGGGCCGGACTGGGCATCTGCACCGGACTGGAAAGAGAAACCAAACACAGTGGGATGCCGGCACGTTTTGAGACGCGGTTAGAATGTCCCGGTGTGCACAGGAAGCAGGCAGAGAAGTTTTCTGAGGGAGGCGATGCCTGCAGGCAGATGAGCCATCTGTGTACCCTCGGGGAGGAGCTCCCTGGATAAGGACACAGAAGCTAGGGTGCCTCGAGGAAGCTGTTGGTTCGGAAGATGGAGGAGACGATCTTGCCGGTGGCGTTGATGGTGCCTTCGCTGTCCGAGCTGGACTCGGAGTCGCTGCTCCCAGAGTAGGCGCCCAGGCCTGGGAGGATGCCGATACAGACCGCGGCCGAGGGGCAGTGGATGGAGGGACCACTCAGGGATGTGCTTCCAAGAGACACGCAAGACGAGGCTTCTGCAAAGGAGGAGGGAGGACTTAGCTTCATCACCCTCTGCCAGTTGATGGTCTGCTTTCCATGCGCCAGGCACTGTGCCGAGAGCTTTCCCAGGGAAGCCTCAAAACCACCCTGTGCGGGCGACACTACTGTCACCCTCACCCTCCAGCTCACCTCCTCCTTTACATCTGAGAGAGCGGAAGCCACAGCCAGAGAGCATTTTAAGACCCTGGGGAATGTCACCAAGTAGGTCGAGGCTCTCTTGCCCCAGGACACCCGTTACACTGCCTCCTTAGTGACAGAGAGCCTCAATCTAGAGAACGCAGGCCTTAAAGATTAAAGGAAAAGTTAAGAAGTCCACCCCTCCTTCTTCCTTCTAAATGTTCTCAGCCTCACTGAGCCATTACATCAACCGGCCATGCAAGTTTTAGCCCTCATTTTACTGGTGAGGGAGGTCAAACGACCTGCTAGGTAAAGGCCACGTCGAGAGAAAATGTTAAACTAAATCTGAATCAAAAAATCATGCACTGAAAGGGTTCCTGAGGTCTTCACTGCAGAGGAAGAGCTGGAGTTCAAACTTCACCGTCTCAACTGACAAGGGTACTATTTTCTAGGGTTTGTCTTAACAAAGCCCGAACTAATAGCTCATGTAAATATCGAAAGGATACATGGTTCCTAGTATATAAAATCGGGGGTAAGCAGGAAATACAATGAAAAGCTCAGAGAGATCGCAAATGCCCCGACACAGAGCTCAGGACTAGAATATATCTCCTTTTCTTACTGGAAGGTCTAAGATAGGCAGCGTTAAAACAGGGAGATGTAGAAAAGTGGAATGAGAGCTGACAGTGCCTGCAGAGAGGGCCACAAGGCACAAGAAAGTAGAGGCAAGTATCTGTAACAAGTATTAAAAACTTACAAGGTATAACGAGTTCTTCTGAAACCAACCAACCAATAACCAAATGGAAAAGTGAACAGTCACAGAAAAAGGAGATGAATTTTAAACACAGGAGAATAAACAGTATGTAAGAAGGGAAAATAAGGGGAACAGGCATCTTTATATTTTGCTGGGCGAGGGGCAGGGCAGTTCAGCAATGTCCTTCAGACGTACATGATGTTCCTACGAGAACATGCCCTGCAGCACTGCCGACAGCAGCAAGTGTGCAGACCATCGAAACGTCCATCAATAGGGGCTCATTTAAGCAATGGACTACTATTCAGCTGCCCAGAAGTGTAAACATCCCTGTTTACTGTATCAAATGGTCCACAAAGCACTGTGCTAAATGAGAAAGACATGGGTGCGTTTAAGGTACAATCTGTGTGTGTGGTGGGACATGCTCAGGTTTATGCATGATAATGTCTGAAAAAAAGACATTAAAAATTCGTAACGGGCTGCTCTGGGGAAAAAAAACTCAGTGGTTGGAAAACAGGAGAGACAACTTTCTACTCCACACTCCTTTGTCCCTTTAGAATTTTCTATTATGTGCATATACTACCTATTCAGGCAAATTTTTTTAAAGGTAAATGCAAAAATCCAAAGAGCATCCTGGGTCACTTAAATTAGGGAGGATCAGTCCCACGTCTCTGTGACCACAGGCATCCAGTATTACAGCCAGGAGGGCGGGGGACCACGGGGCAGCCCCAGAGACAACAGGGATTGCTTGTCTATATTCTCCTCTAACCGTGAGTCTCCGCAGGACAAGGGTTCTTTCTTCCTCGTGCCACCCACTGGGCATACAGCACAGGGCCTGGCACAGAGCGGGCCAGTGCCCACAATGTGTGAGAATGCAGGAAAATGTGTTCAAGACATGGAAGCGTTTCACTGCAACTGGCAAAAATCTTTTTTGGGGGGTGGTAAAAATGTTGGGGGGTGGACATGACATTATACCAGGGTGGGCAAACTTTTTGACTCGAGGGCCACAATGGGTTCTTAAACTGGACCGGAGGGCCGGAACAAAAGCATGGATGGAGTGTTTGTATGAACTAATATAAATTCAAAGTAAACATCATTACTGTATGCCATTCACTGTGTTAAGTTACATACACAATGTACTTTCAGTATTCTGTTAGAAAAATATTTAGGATATGAGTCAGTTACTTAGAAAAATAGCTGCTCAGTGAGATGTGACATTTTATTAAGTATTTCAGGGTGACTTTCTTAGAAAAGAAGGACAAGTCTACAGTACCTGTGAGGACCAGAGCTGGCCGAAGGGAAGGGTGGACGGCAGCCTCAGAAAGGCAACCAAAGATCTAGAACTCCGTGGCGTCAGCAGAGTTCAAACCAAAAGACCAAATCTCCCAATTATCTAGGAGGTTTCAAGAAAGAAAAGAGACTACGACTCTGACAAATTTCATTCCAAAAGCAGTTAACTGTCCAAAAAGAACAAAATGGTGCCCTCTGATCTCAGCCGTTTGGGGAAGTTTCCTGCCAACTGCTGCAATTGCAGGACCACATTGTCACAGCAAATTAACACTGAAAATTACTAACAGAGAATGTGCCTGCGATTCAGACAGCTGCGTGACTTGAGAGGAGATGGGGTCAGCATGTGCATTCTGCGCAGAGCTCAAGCCCAGAAGCTCCAGTGGGGGAAGCCTGCCTCTCCCCGGGGCCACAGAACTATCTTCTGGGGGACCAAGGGGACAGATCCTCCTACTGCTGAGGACAAGACCCTGAAGCAAGACACAGCAGACATTTCTCCTGTGTGGCCTTAGCTCCTAGCAAAAGAAGGTATTTCTTGCCCAGCTTCTGCTGTACGAAGGGAAGGGGGAGGAAGAAGGCGTTTAGAATGCCAAAAAAGATGGCTCTGAACACGTGTGCACCTCACTGTAAAGACCCCCCAGTTTTCCTTTCCTCTGACTCATGCAAATACTTCCTACCAGGGACTAAGCACCAGATGCAGAGTTACGAATTACCTGGCTGAGATATGTTTAAGATTTCCATGAAGTATACACAGTATACACTTATGCTATTTAAGCAGCCACAGTATATTCTTTTTGACCTAATAACTCCATGTATTTAGCCTGATATTTGTGACTATGAAAAACGATGCATGTATAGGATTATTTAATACAACATCATAAAAGTGAAAGCTATATAAACGTTCATCAATAAAAAATGGGATAAATATACTATGTAAAACCATATGATGGAATACTAGACAGCCTTAAAAAGGAATGAAGAGCCTGGCCAGTGTGGCTCAGTGACTGAGCATCATCAACCCACGAACCAGGAGGTCACAGTTAGATTCCCAGTCAGGGCACGTGCCTGGGTTGCAGGCTCCATCCCCAATGTGGGGCATGCAGGAGGCACCCGATGATGATTTTCTCTCATTGATGTTTCTCTCTCTTTCGCTCCCTCTCCTTTCCTCTCTGAAATCAATAAAAATGTATTTTTTTAAAAAGTAGATTATACAGCAAAAGGTATCAGCAACGGTTGGCCATTACCAGTGCTCAGTAGATACAGATTTTAAAATATCCATTATTTTTTTTTGAGAGAAAATAAATTAAGCCCTGTTTTATGGATGATCCACTGAGTTTAGCTCAGACTCTCAATCCCACAGGGAGTCAGAGGTAGAAATGAAAACACTCTTGAATTTCCCATTCTTGATCCAGCACCCAGGATACGCGCACCTTCACTTACAACTGTGCCACTTAATGCAGTGTCAGATTTGATCACATAAAAATAACCACCAAAGAAAGTGTAGTCCTGGAAACTGTACTAAAACTAGGCTCGCTCCAATCAACCATCAGCAGGAGCCTGGCATTCTACCTCTCACTGGTAGCAAGCCAGGTGAAATCAAGAAACTTGACATTTGGGGAAAACAGAGAAAAATCCTTTGTGAGAAGAGGTGATATGACCAGGGCTCTGGCTGTGTACGCACTCCTAGGAAGCACAATGGCCACTTATCAGTTCCACAGGTTTCTAACATAGTACTTTGCAGGGCAGCTGACATACTCTTGGGTATAAATCCTGCTTGGTAAAAAAAGTTTGGTAAATTACGTTTAGGTAGGCCTGCTTAGAGATAAACGCCGTCATTCCTAAGTGCAATGCTTTCCAGCCCTTTACTATTTGGTATTATGAGTAAAGAAGTGAAAGCTGCCACCCACCTTGATTCTTGTCATCTGGGTCAGGATCCGATTTCAGCCTTTTTACACTGTTGCCACTCTCTGAGCTGTAACAGAAAACATGGTGATATGAGCTAAGTCCAATCTTGGGGATCAAAGCTTTGGGATCAGGAGCTCCAATAACCATTTATATGGCTCTGAGGCAGCCTCAAGGAACTAGAATAATCTGAAATAAAAAGTCTGCATTTCAGAGTCTCCCCTTGGTTATATTATTGGTTATAAAGACAACTGAAACCCCTGACCAATTCAAGGGATAAAGTGTTATAGCTACAACCGTTTCCTACACTTCAGATCCTTTGTTGTCCTCATCATTTATTCATCTTGGATAGAACCACAGACGGATTTCAAGACTATCTGGACATGTTCATAAGTGACAAAAATTTAGTTTAAGTTATTAAAGACCGAAGGAAGCATCTTTAGTTACATGCTAGAGATTCTGAAAGTCATCTAAAAGGCCTTCATTAAAAGATCATCTAAACAGTGTACTTCAATGAGGAAGGAAATAATCGAGAAGGAAGGACTTAATTCCAGAAGGAAAGAATGGTGGGGGAAAAAAACACCAAAAACCTGGCAAATACAAATATAAATCTAAACACAATGTTGCCTGTATAAACAGACACACACACACACACACACACACACACATCTAATTTGTGGTGTCAAACATGATCATACTAAAGTCCTAAGCATGTAAGAAAGGAAGAAGGTGATTGTAGCTCAAAGTCCTAAGGTTGGTGTATAATTTTGCAGGGAAGTAAGATAGCAATTTATTTTAGGTTTTCCTAAGTATGCTGGTCAATTGCAAGGTTGGCCATCAAAAGAACAGAAATAGAATACCTAAATCCAAACTAGTAGTAGGAAGAAAGAAAAACTGAATGAAGTAATTTTTAATCTTAATTTTTTTTAAAGCAAGAAGAATACAAGAAAAAATTCTTTAAAGACAAATAACATTAAGATAGTAAAAACTGTATCACCCTGGCTGGGTAGCTCAGTTGGTTGGAGCATCATCCCAATACGCCAATGAATCAACCAATGAATGCATAAATAAGTGGAACAACAAATCGTTGTTTCTCTCTCCCCTTTTTTCTCTCTCAAATAAACAATTTTTAAAAAACTATAAAAAATCCTAATAAATCCAACCCTACCAGTAAAAAGATCAACAGACTAAATTGTAAATCAGTACATAGGACACACACCTAAAAACTTAACAAAATGAGACAATTCCAGATAGAGTAACAATCAGAAAAAAAATACTAACAACTTTAGTTAATGTATTTGAAACAAGACAAAATGGGTGAATTCCCAGAAAATAAAACCAAATTAAACTGACTCAGAAATATATAGATAATCTTAGTACCATAATCATAAAAATTTTAAAGGGGGGACAAAAATGATTTTATCTAGTTCTACTAAGCTTTCACAAACGAGAACACTACCAACTTATACACACTCCTGAAGGGAAGAGAAGGAACACTCCCTGAATCATTCTCTAAAGCTAGTTTTCATTTTCATGTCAAAATAAGATAAAACTGGGGGGGGATACAGGCCAGTCTCCCTCAAGAACATAGATTCAACAACTGATACAAAATATAAGCAAAACAACAAGCCAGTGGAGTTAAGAAAAGTAACAATATATCACTGCCACACTGGGTTTCTCACAGGAATACAACATTAGAAAAATCTATAAGTTTACTTTTTCTCTGTAACAGAAAAAAGAAAAAATTATTTGATCAACTCAAAAGCAGAAAAAGAATATGACAAAATTTAACCGTTAATGGCTACAAAAGAACCTCTTATCAAACTAGGAACAGAACTTCCTTAACTTGCTTGCCAAAGGATATCTGAAACAAACAAAAACGATCAATACTAATCTTAGAAGTGAAAGTTATAAACATTATGTTTAAAACTAGAATGTGCAGAGTTGTTTCTAACATTTTCCTGGTGGTCCTAGCCAGTGAGGTAAGATAAGAAAAAGGAATTAAAAAACACAAGGAAGAGAATACAACTGTCATTATTTACAGATGGTAACTTTCTACATAAAAATTTCAAAAGAATCCACTGATAAATTATTAAAGTTAATAAGAGCTGGTGGCTGGATGTAAATATTCCATTGACTACATTTTTACACACCAGCAGCAAAAATATAAAATACTTAGGAATAAATTTAAGAAAAAATGTGCACAACTTTTTTTTAATATATATTTTTATTGATTTCAGAGAGGAAAGGGGGGGGGAAGAGAGAGAGAGAAAAAGAGAGAGAGAGAGAGAGAGAGGAAAAAGCATCAATGATTAGAATCATTGACTGGCTGCCTCCTGCCTGCCCGCCACTGGGGATTGAGTCTACAACCCAGGGCGGAAATCAAACCATGACCTCCTGGCTTTTAGGCCGACACTCAACCACTGAGCCACACCGGCTGGGCTGTGCATAACTTTTTTGAAAAATAATTATAAGACTTTATAGAATGACATTAAAGGAAATCAATAAATGTAGATATATGCCACAACAGGAGGACTCAAATCCATAAAGATCTGTTCTCTCTATAAATTTATCATGCAATTTAAATAACATTCCAATAAAAATGTCCATAGAGATTTTAAAAGAACTTAAATCTAAAATTTATATGGACGAACAAAGTGGCCAAGAATAGATATGACTTGCCCGACCAGATATCAAGATTTATTAAAAAGCAACAATAATTACCCAGAATGGTACGGGTCCAACAGGTCCAACAGATCCAAGGACAAGGAAAAAAAAACCCTCAAACAAACCAATACAGCCGAAATCGGTTTGGCTCAGTGGATAAAGCGTCAGCCTGTGGATGGAAAGGTCCCAGGTTCGATTCCGGTCAAGGGCATGTACCTTGGTTGCAGGCACATCCCAGTAGGAGATGTGCAGGAGGCAGCTGATCGATGTTTCTCTCTCATCGATGTTTCTAACTACCTCTCTCCCTTCCTCTCTGTAAAAAAAAATCAATAAAATATATAAAAACAAAACAAAACAAAAAAACCGATACATGTCTGGAAACTTGTTATAAGACAGAGGTGATATTAAAGACTCCTTGGGGGAGGGGATACATATATTTAGTAAAAGATGCTAGAAAATTTGCTTTTTGTTTGAAGAAAAAAATTGAAATGGGATCCCTACCTCATACCCTTCACAAAAATCAATGACAGATGGATTCAAGACTACCATGTGAAAGACGAAACTCTAAACTTTAGAAGAAAAACTATCTTATGACCTCAGGGTAGGAAGAATTTCATGAACAAAATATAAAATGATCTAACCATAAAATAAGTGGTAGATTTGACCACCTTCAAACAGTACAAACTTCCGGTTATAAAGTAAACAAGTCTTGGGGATGTAATGTACGGTCTGGTGACTAGTTAGTAATACTGTATTGTATAGATAGAGACTAGTTATAATACTGTATTGTATGTCTGAAAGTCACTAAGAGAGTAGATCTTAGTTCTCATCACAAGAAAAAAAATATTGTAACTATGTGTGGTGATGGATGTTAATTAGACTTAAATAAACTCCCAGACTGACTCACTCCAAACTTATTGCACCAGAATTTGCGTGAGGCCTAGAAGCCCATTAACGAACGCCCAAGTGAGTCTATAAACCCAGGCTGGAAACATTAGGAACTCCGGCCCCAGGAGACTCATTTATCACCTTGTTACACAAAATAACAATAAATGATGTAGTTTCAAAGCCAAAAAGGGGTTATATGCATGTCACCGAGTACGCTAAGGACTGTACGGGAGACAGTTATAAGACCCACTCTGCTGGCGGAAGACGCTACTGAGGTGACTCCCACTTAGAAAGCCCTTTCTAATGGACTCAGGCCCAAATCCTGAAAGACACTGGGCCAAGCATGAGAGCTTCTGTGAAAATGTGAAAGGAATAATTCCTAGCTCGGGCAACGAGCCTCTTCAGGCTGCTGATCCTCCTCCCCTCTGCTGCTATGTCATAACGACATTTTTACACGTAAACAATGTTCTAGAACATCTGCAGCCGATGGTGTGCCAAACCACAAGACTGCATCAATACACTCTGTTCAATACACGTGGCTGGCTGACAATACACCATATTGATTCTCCTAATGGACTGCACTTAAAAACTTTATATCATTTTGCCTGTGGTATGGTGGTCAAACTGAAATAACCAGATTTAGTCGCTTTGGTGCCATTGAGGATTTGGAAAGGGAGGAGCGAACCTAACAAAGAACTTACCCAAATCTCTAGGCACTGCTGCCACGCCCCCAGCAACCAGGCGGAGCCCAGCCAGGTCTGTGACCCTATCACGGGGCCATGTTCGTACAGCCACAATGCCTTTGCTGCTAGCAGGGGCTGGCCCTCTCCTGTCTGCCTGTCAAAGCCCTAGTCCTCCTCACTAAACATCTCCTTTCTAAAGTCTTCCTAACTTCTCCAGCAGGAGCACACGCCCTCCAGGCAGCCTCAGGTGTCTCCTCTTCCCTGCTCTTATTACACCCTGAACAAATCCTTTCATAGACCTTGCTACCTCGTTTGCCTAGAAACACAAATGCCCGACTATTACACTCCACCTCTCCTATTATTTTGTGACCTTGGATAAAAGTCTCAACCTCTCAAATTCACGGTCTCCTCACCTGTAAGTCACTTGTAGTTCATACACTTGTTGAGGAGGAAGAGATGAGATCATGCGCAGAAAGCACTTAGCACAATGCCAGGCACACAGCAGGTGCCCAAGGCTGAGTAGCCATTACTATGCTGAATGGGCAGTCAGAGACCAGGCTCCGAGGGTATAGACCATATGTAATTGGGAAGGGGGAGCCAGGGGAGGCTCCCGAGGGAACTTCACGGAGACTCACGCTTAGCTCTGGCTATCATTCCAAGAGGCATTTCAGAGGACACGGTCAGAGGGAGGTTTAAGCTGTGCAAGTGTCGGCTGACCTCTTATGCTTCACAGCTCCCGCCAACAGCTTTGCCTGGGAGAACTTGTTCTTGGTTTCTATGGGTTTCATGGCCACTTTCTTCTCCACTTCCTTCTTGTTTTCTGGAGCAATTCCAACCTTGTTGAGATTACTGTGAGTTACAGGTTAAGGGTCCAACTAAGCAAACGGAAGGGCTGTGCCAGGACAATGATGAATTGAGAAGGAATGCAAATCTAATCCACCAGCACTTTGGCTCTGCCAAGTCATGTTTAGCCTACTGATTTGAAAAAGCCCTCCCCTTTATTCTGCCAGTCAAATCCAGCTGATTTCAAGAGAAATGAAGGTGAACACAGAGGAAGATGGCAAATCAAGCATAAAATAATAGGCAAGGGAACTTTTCCCCTCCGATTCTCTATGAAAATCTGCGTACAGCCAGAAAACCTGCTACTACCGAAGACATAGTCGTTATCATGCTCGTTGGGGAAAACAAAAAACCTTAAGGACTATAAATGCAACAGAAAAAAATATGGCTTCCCTGAAAATGTTTGCTTTTCCAATTTTGCAGAATGTCCTATGACTATTAATGGCATCAATCTTAGACACGACGAAGACTACCTCCTACTCTGCTGGTGCAAGGCAACATCAAAACCACTTAAGTTCATTAAAAAACAGAGTCTTCGTGTTGATCAGTCACCACCCCCTCTCCTGTCACAAGCCTCCGGATGTGGACCTCCAGAGGCCCAGGAACCAGTTTTAAATCCTCCCTCAAGGTGATTTTAATAACACAACCCAAGAACCAAAAAGTTGATTTTGAAGCATCACCTGTTCCTGGTGGCATCACTTTTTTCATGCTTGCTGTCAACCTCTGGCTTTCAAGGTCTGTCACTTTCTCTTGTTCTCTCTACCTGCCTCCTCTCCACCTTCCCTTCCATTCTCTCACAACCTATTATGCAATAGACAAGTGTTCCAACAGGGTGCAACTTCTTAAGACGCAGTCGAGCCCTCTTGGAGCAATAGTGACATCTAGTGCCCAAGGAATCTTAGAAGCGTGTACTATCAACCCCAAGAGGTGGGGATGGGGTGGGTGTATGGTCTAAGCTGCTTATTTGTCTTTAAACAATGGAGAACATTGGGTATCAGAAATAAGGAAAGTCTAATTCTGATCATTTTCCAGGCACTACCTCTGTTCTTATGAACACCAGTTACCTTAAATATTTGCATTATTCAATGAGGATTATGCATTTGGTTCAATACTACTGTTTCATCAGTTTCATGTTTTTAAGGTCATTATGGGAACAGATAAGATATTAAGACTAAATGTTCATCCTTTTTAAGAATAAAAATGGAGAGAGAGAAGCATCAATCAGGTGCCTCCCAAATGCACCCAGACCAGGGATTGAACCCAAACCCAGGGATGTGCCCTGACTAGGAATTGAACCCGAAACCTTTCAAGGCATGCGAGGATGCTCCAACCGACCAAGCCACCTGGACAGGACTGTTACTATAATTTTTAAAAAATATATATTTTATTGATTTTTTTTTTTACAGAAAGGAAGGGAGAGGGATAGAGAGTTAGAAACATCAATCAGCTGCCTCCTGCACACACCCTATTGGGGATGTGCCCGCAACCCAGGTACATGCCCTTGACTGGAATCGAACCTGAGACCCTTCAGTCCACAGGCCGACGCTCTATCCACTGAGCCAAACCGATTAGGGCTGTCACTAAAATTTTTAAGTGTATCAATAAACATTTTAAATTTGTTAAAAAAAAAAAAAAAGAATAAAAATGAGCCCTAGACAGTTTGGCTCAGTGGATAAGAGTGTTGTCTTGCAGACTAAAGGGTCTCTGGTTTGATTCCTGGTCAGGGCACATGCCCAGGCTGTGGGCTTGATCCCCAGTGGAGGACGTGCAGGAGGCAATGGATCACTGATTCTCTCTCATGATTGATGTTTCTCTCTCCCCCTTCCTTTCTGATATCAATAAAAATATATTTTAAAAAGAAAGAGCATAATCTATAGACACAGACAATAGGGTGGTGAAGGCAACGGGGGGGAATTACATATGTAATTCTTTCACAATATTTATATTAAAAAAAAGAACAAAAAAGAAACAGATCTTATCTTTCTAGTATAGAACGCCAAAAACCATGAGCATGCTGTGATTCTTCCCTACAACTCCAACATTAAGGAATAGAAACTCAAAGAAAATTCTTAATATTAAATGTTGAAAAATAAAACAAATTGGAATTAACACAATGAAAGTACTCGTGTATTTATAATACCAGGACGCAGACAAAAAAAACCCACTTAATTTTTTATTCTTTTAAAGTGAAGAAAAGTGTTCATCCTTTTCTTTTGGGGAGGCAGGGAAAATGGGAGGAAGGTGGTAATATTATTTCTGATCCATATCCAAAGCATAAGCCATTTTTTTCATACGTCCCTCTCCTGTAAAATGCTTTCAATACACAAACACACCTCAAATCTCTCAAGGGACTCATTAAAAGGCATTTTTAAAAAAATTACAATTCTTAACACATAATGTGGCTAAAGGAAAGTAGAGGTCTGCTGTTTATATGGCACAAACCAGAGCTTATTTGTATTCACAAGTATCACATTACAAAATGTATCATATTATAAAGGTCAGTTAAAGCCAAGAGCCAAGAGCTTCCATAAACAAATGTCGAGTCCTCCAATTCCTACCTCAACATGTCTCTGGCTACAGTCACCCTTGGGATGAGTGCATATACTCCAGTGAGTTGGAAGGCTTGTTTTTCTTCGGTTTTTCTAAAGAGTCAGAACTTTCCAAGATTCTGACAAAAGCCAATACCCCTGGGGCCTCGTCAAGGTGGCTGTAATGTTACCAGGACAGGAAAGTTTCTTTGGCCTCACTGCTGCCGTTCATTCTTCCCTTTGAGTTGGAAACCGAAGGGCCTCTCATCCATAACCAGCACTGCTTTCCAGAATGCTGCTTTGGGAGGCACTGGGTCTTATTTGCTAGCCTAGCAAATTAAGCACATGAAACAGGACAATTCATGTGAGACGTGTCATTAATGTCCTTCCTTAGCGGAAAAAGCCTGGTGCCTGAAACAATGCCACACACATTCGGCCCATGTCTGCAAACCCCAGTGCGTACTGCTGTTCTGGGGTCAGCAGAGGCGAGCTTCCGAATAATCACTCTCAATCCTCCAGTTGGGATTGAGGGGTAACTTTCCATCAGCTCCTATCTTAACGTTACACCAGAAAGCCACTAGAGCTAGGACGGGAAGCCAGGTCTTTTGCTACCAATTAAGAGGTTTTGTGACACTATGCTGCCACCTTATTTCAATCACCGTCGCCTTGATTTAAGCCAAATCCCGAGGAACCTTTGCACACTTTCTCCCATATAACTCTTTAATAGAACCCACTGTACACTGTCTGCAAAAAAATATCAACACACACAGCAGTGTCACATCACTCGGAAGTGAAGCCTGCTCAATCACACTAGTAAAGTTATTCAACATATAAGCTTTGAAATATTCACATAAGATTTCTCATAGGAGGCCTGGCCAGCATGGCTCAAATGGCTGAGCACTGACCTATGAACCAGGAGGTCACGGTTCGATTCTCAGTCAGAGCACATGCCCGGGTTGCAGGCTCCATCCCCAGTGTGGGGTGTGCAGGAGGCAGCCAATCAATGATTCACTCTCATCATTGATGTCCCATCCCCCCCGCCGCCTCTCTCTCTCTCCCTCCTTCCCCCTCTGTAATCAATTAAAAAAATTTTTTTTAAAGAAACCAACCCTCTTCCCTTAAAAAAAAAAATTCTCATAGGAGAAAAAAAACTAGGGTGGTCTTATTAACCTCTCCTATGAATCATTCATTACTTTATCCAAATATATACCAAGAAACCACTACATACCAGGCACTGAAAAATCAGTGATGGCCAAGTCCCTGTTCGTATAAAGCTTACTTTACCTTCCAGCAGGTGAGAGGCAAACAAACCAAGACTCAGGTAGTGACAAGTACTATTAAAAATGACATTCTAGACAGTGATGGAAGGGGGTGCAATTTTAGGTGGGCTGCTCAGGGAAAGTCTATTAGGGAGGGAGATGTGAACTGAGACCTGAGGGCCATGAAACGAGCCTTGTAAAATCTGAGGGCCGAGCATTCGTGGCCAAGAATGCAACTACAAAGGCCTTGGGATGGAAACACCAAGTTCAGTAAGAGGGACATAGGAAGGCCAGTGGGCTGCAGTACAGCGAACACTAGGAAGAGTGAGTTCAGATGCAGTGGGGAGGGGAGTTGGCCTAAATAATGCTGAGCCCTGTAGGGCCTGGTAAAGAATGTAGACTTAAGTTTAAATGCACCTGGAGGCCACTAATGCTCAAACAGTAAAGTGACATGATCCCCTGCATGTTTTCAAATGTCCCTGAGAAATGACTATTGGGGACGAGAGAAGCAGCTGAGGCTATATGAATGGCCACAGCAGTCCAGAGAAGAGTCGATGACTCTGCAATGGCAGTACAGAGAGCAAGAGCTACACAGATTTGGAGCACATTTTGGAGGTAATTTTTGACCCAGGTACCTGGAGGTATGGGAGAACCATTACTTGATTATTAGGATTTAGGCCTTTAGTTAATTCTAAAGGATTTGGACTTCTGATTGCAACAGATTCTTACATGCAACATAACTCCGTAGATCAGTACCAGTGAGTTATTCAGTCATCAAAATATCACCATTGGAAAGGCCGTCGTGGCTCAATGGTCCAGCACTGACGTATGAATCAGGAGATCATGGTTCGATTCTCGGTCAGGGCACATGCCCAGGTTGCGGGCTCGAGTAGGGGGCGTGTAGGAGGCAGCCAATCAATGATTCTCTCTCATCATTGATGTTCCTCTCTTCCTCTCCCTTCCCCTTTGAAATCAATAAATATAAAGACCTTCATTCTATTTACAAAGAAACCAAAATTGTACATGTTGATGGGAAAACTGACACCTTCTCTCAAAGTACAAAGGATATTCTGTATTCCTTCAGTTCTTTCAGTTCCTCTTCTCTTCGCTGCTTTTCTATTAATTCCT